GCATGGTGGAGGGCAGGGTCGGAATCGCAGCGCTCGACGAGGTGGGCTCCTTTTCGGCATCCCAGAGCACGAGGGTGTGTGAGAAGAGCTCGACCTCGTCGCTCTGAGGATCTTGTGCAGCGTCGGAAGTGGAAGAGTAGAAGCCGATGGCCCTTTCCTTGGCCTGCAGTCGGACGAGGCAGCGGGTGTACCTGCCGCGGTTCTTGGTCTCGGTGTCGAGCTTGACGAGCACGTCGCCCTTGAGCCAAGCCTGGAAGCCCCTGAGCCCGAGGTAGCCCACCTGGAAGGATGTGGAGTCGCTTCGTGGAGCAATGTCGAAGAAGCTGTCGGAAGGTGGTGCGGATGACGCTGATTGCGAGGACGAGGCGATAGCCGGAGGAGGGAAGCCGTTGGCCTCGGAGTAGGCTGGCAGACGATGCTGCGCAGCGGTGTGCGAAGAGCTCGGCGACATGCTGAGCGAGGACCTTGGCGTCGCACCGCCACGCACTGAGGGAGCGGGAGCCGTGCAGCGTGTGATGATGCCAAGTTGCGGGCGATGTCGTGGGTGTGGCTGAGCAAGAGTGCAGGGTGGAAGTGGATGATGAAGATGAAGATGCGCCGAGTTGAGCGGGTGCAGCGTGAAATGTGGAGCAGCAGCGCCATAAATTTCGAGAAGCAGACCCTGGCTCGAGGTCCTTTTTCCTCTTCTTTTTTGCAGCCTCTTTTCTGGCGCTGATTTCTCGATACTCATAAATTTCCGCAACCGATTTGCCGCACTTGACCTCGAGCAACAGCCTCAGCCCGTTCAGCACTTGTGCAGCACAGTCGGAAAGAACAGACGCACTTGCATTGGTATCGAGAGAGAGGCAGCGCTAGTCCTTGGCGGCAGGGAAGGGGAAGGGCGGGTTGTTGGCGCGCGCGTCGGAGCGTCGTTCGTGGTCAAAGGGGAAGGGATTCTCCTTGCGCGCCTGTCGAATCAGATCGTCCAGTCCACGTTCTGTTACCGCTTTCTGTTGCGCCAGAACCATACGATTGAGAGTTAGTACCCGTTCGCGGCGACAAGTGGCGTAGAGTGTGTACATACCTTGATACAGGCCTGGTAGTCTTTGAAGAGCTGGGCACAGTCGCGCTCGTATCTCTGCATGATGGCGTTCTTCCTACCCTCGACATCCGAGTCGGCTATCGACGAAGCCTGCGTGGATGTGCTTGAAGATGAGCTATCCGAGAACCATCCGGACTTCTTCTTGGTGCTGGCGCCGTTGGTGGATGAGGATGCGGTGGATGCGGTTTGGCTGCGTCGCTGCTGGTCCTGGATCTGGTCGTCACCAATGGCGAGGTAGTCCTTGAACCACAGGTTGAAGCACGAGTCGTAGCGGTGCTTGAGCGGCGTGCATTCCGCCGACATGGACGAGATCGCTCCCAAACCCGCAGCGCCTTTCGTCTCCCACTCGCCAGTCGAGGCGCTAGCCGCTGCCGATGCCGATGCAGGCACAGACGTCGCTGCACCACCACCAGCGTTGCGCGATGAGCCTGTCACCTCTACAGGCTCCTCTGGGGTCCGAGAGAAGAACATGGCTTGACCGGGTGATGCTTCGAATGCAAGCAACAGCCAGGAGGGTGTGACGGATCTTCTTTCACAGCCTCCTGCACGAAGCGACCCGTGCATCGCGCGGCGCACGCCAATTTTTGTCAATGATGTTACGTCCCCAGCACGCTGCCCTTGCTCTCCTCCTTCTTCTCGCCATGCTTCTGGTCATCCTCACGAATCAAGGGCTAACAACGACAAGGACCGAGCACATTCGACAACGCATTGTGGTTTGTGTTCCATGACAATCACATTTCAAATCGACCGCACCCAAACGAGCCCAGTCACGCAGCTACGGCCCCTGTATCAAAGTTCTGACGCGCAGGATCAAAGATGGAACGAATGTCAGCATCTCTTGTCCAGCTGCTTGTGACGCTGAGGAAGCCAAGGAAGGGCGGCGGCGATCCATCATATAGGAGCGAAAGACGTTTAGATGGAATGGGTGTTCGCATTGAGCCTGCAAGGGCTCTAGATTTGAACTATGCATTTGTTTTCGGGTTATAATCCTTTGGATGCCGCGCTGTTGTGCAGGGCCGTCTCGTCGGCGTTGTAGCAGTGGGGGGAGTCTTGCTTACCTTTCGCCATGGTCAGGGGTTGGGTGTTGCTGGAACGGACCCCTGCGCCGTTGGATGTGGTGAGGAGGGTGGGGAGGGAAGGATGACGGCGGGCGCTGCCTTTTGTTTGGCGCTCTGCCTTCTGCTGTCCATTTTTGCTTTCGAGCAGCGGATTTTTTCAGCTCTTCTCACCGCAGCTGAACAGAGATCGCGGTGTTCAGCCCGATAGCGCTGTGCCGATTTGACGGCGATTTCAGCTCCGTGGGGAACCGGGCCAGCTCCACATGGCCGAGCAGCTGCTGAGCATGAGATGCCGACATCCTTCGCACGACCATCTGCCACCCATTACGCTTCGTAGACCTTCTGACGATATGGTGGTGTCGGGCGCAGGCGCTGCTGGGCGGATAGTTGTGGTGGGCGTTGGAGGAGCCACGTGTTCCGGCAAAACAACGCTCGCCAAGCATCTGCTGCACATCCTCAACCCGTCATCTGACTCCGGCTCCGATGGTGCAGCGTCCTCAGGAAGCAACCGGGCACACGGCATCTTGGACGCCTTCATACTGCATCAGGATGACTTTGCACCGCCCGAAGCCACGTTGCCCGTGAACGAGCAATTTGGTGTGACGGACTGGGATCACCCACCCACAGCGGTAAGTTGACGTCTCGTCCGACGCTGAACATCCAGCACACCATGGCTGAACATGTCTACCTCGCCCGGCTCTTTTCAGATCGACTACGAGAGGATGCGCTCGACGATCGAGCATATCAAGACCACCGGCTCGTTTCCGCCTGGCTTCTCGTCGCACGACCATCTCAACGCACAGCCGGACTGTCCGATCTCGGAGCAGGTCTCGACGACATGGCGCGACAAATTCGGCTCGCTGTCTACCAACCACGGCGTGCGCATTATGCTGGTCGACGGCTTCCTGCTCTACTACGATGCGGCGGTTCGCTCGACAATGGACGTCAAGATCTTCCTGCGCACGCCGCGCGCCGTGCTCAAGCAGCGACGCGACGAGCGCTTTGGCTACGCTACCGCCGAAGGAACCGTGTGGAAGGACCCCGAGGGCTACTTTGACAACATCGTCTGGCCCGCCTACGAGCTCGCCCATCGCGGCGTCTTTGGGCGCCACGACGTGGAGAACGGCAAAGCCGTTAAACCGGATCCCGATGCCAAGCCGGTTGCCGGAGGACCGGTCGAAGGTCTTTGCGTTCTCGACGTCGCTCCGGCACAACAGGCGGACAGTGCAGCATCGACGTTCTCGAGAGAGATGACGCAGCTGGTGGACGAGACATGTGCGGCGATATGGACATTCCTCACGGCGTCGCAGCCGTGACTTGCGCAACACGTAGACTGTTACCGATATGTGCCGAGCAGCATGGTCTCAGAGCCAAGTGTGATAACCCGATCCCCGATGTCTGTTTCCCGATGTTCAAGTCGGCGAGAGAAGCGGGCGAGGGGCGTGAAAAGGGGCCGCGGACAGGAGCGCGATCCGCTCGCTGCTGGAGCGCCATCATGTGAAATGAGCTTCTCAGCTGCCACGTCTGCGGGTGTGCTGTTGGGGCGGAAACAGGCAGGCAGGAGCGCGGCTAAGCGGTGCGGCTGGCAAAATCACGAATTGGAATTTCCAAAGCGTTCCAGCAGAGAGCGCGAAGCCCAAATCGATACCGCTGTCAGATTCGCAATCTCGCACGGCCGCGGCTGAGCCACAGCGCCGCCCTGCACCGCTCGCCAGCCACTGCGTCTTCTTAGGTCGCCGTCGTCATCGTCACCCCCCTCGCCGTCACTGCCACCACCCAAACGCCGCTCCGTCATCTCGCCCCCACTTGCATACTCCGCCATGTTCATCATCAACTGGTTCTGGGTACGTAGCTCCACGCCCGAAATACACGCGCAGATCAGCACAGCTTGGTTCGCAACCTTTGGCTGACACTTGCATCTCGCACACTCCCGCTTCCACTCTTGCAGGACATTCTTGCCCAGCTCGGTAAGTCTTGAAAGCAGTATGTGCGCTGCCGGAGGAACCGCTCAGACTGACGCTTTGATTCTTGCTCGACTCACAGGCCTGGCGCACAAGAACGCCAAGATCCTTTTCCTTGGTCTGGACAACGCCGGTAAGACGGTACGTTATCACCACCACGCGCCGACACGCACAATCAGAGCTCGTACTGACTATCGCTCGACTTGGCATCACTATAGACGCTTCTGCACATGCTCAAGAACGACCGTCTCGCCACATTGCAGCCAACGCTTCATCCCAGTATGTAACCCCGCAACCTTTGCGCGCGTCGAGATTTTGTGGCAGCAGCGAAGCTGACGTCCCTTATGCAAACCAAACAGCCTCGGAAGAGCTTGCGATTGGTCAGGTCAAGTTCACCACATACGATCTGGGCGGCCACCAGCAGGCGCGTCGTCTGTGGAAGGACTACTTCCCCGAGGTGGACGGCATCGTGTTCCTGGTGGACACGCAGGACCACGAGCGCTTCGCCGAGGCACGCGCCGAGCTCGACGCGCTGCTCTCCATCGAGGAACTCTCCAAGGTTCCCTTCCTCATCCTCGGCAACAAGATCGACGCTCCCGGTGCTGTGTCCGAGGAGGAACTGCGCCAGGCTATTGGCCTCTACCAGACCACCGGCAAGGGCAAGGTGCCCCTCAAGGACATTCGCCCCATCGAGATCTTCATGTGCTCCGTCGTCATGCGCCAGGGTTACGGAGAGGGCTTCCGCTGGATCTCCCAGTACATCTGAGCCTCAATCTCCCCGTCAAACACACTGCCTCACCCCCTCTCGACACACACACACACAAACTTGCTTCCGAAATCCAAATGTCACAGTACAACCACACACACACACGACGAACAGCAGTCGGGCAAGTCTCTGAATTTTTTGTTTCGGGAGCAGCACAAGCTCGACAAGGGGCGGGCAGAGAGTGCGCGAGAGTGCGGAGAGAATATACACGGTCGGAAGAGGGGAAAGTGCGAAGGAGCGGCTAGACGACGGTCTTCTTGCCCTTTTTCTTCTCGGACTCCTTGTGCGACTGGAACTCGACGTCCGAGGTGAGTCCCGCACCGATCTTGGCGTCAATGTCGTAGCCGAGCACGTTGACCTTGAACTGTTTGCCAATGTCGAGCAACTTTGCTGCGAGTTCCTCGGTGTCTTCTGCCTTTCTTGTCCAGATGGCGATGCGGTAAAAGTTGGCCCTTGCCGACATGATCACGCCGGTGACCAACTCGTCCTGCGGGCTGGAGCTAGGCGGGGGTACGCCGTCGGGGAAAGGGGCTTCGAGGGTTTCGCCGATAGCGGCGAGCATGGTGAAGAGCCACAGACGGTCGATAGCCGCACGCGTCTTGTCGCGCGGCAACTGGATGGACCACTTGCCGCCGTTGGTGTTGGCCGGATCCTCCCACGCAGGCTTCACGCCCTGTTTGAAGAGGTAGTAGTTGGCCTTTTGCGGAAGCTCCGAGGGGGGCACAATGTTCTGGTACAGTCCCCAGAACTCCTCGACGCTGTCGAAATCGACCACCTTGTTCATGTCGTCACCCCAGCTCTCCTTGGTGCCGCGTGCCGAGGCCATACCCTTCTGCGACGGGTTGTCGAACCACAGCGTCCACGAATTGTACAGCGGATGCTTCACGTTGAAGTTCGTCGCGTCCTGGAACACGGTGCGGTACTCGGCGGCGTTGACATCCGAACTCGATGCCGCCTCGCCGCCCTCGGACGTCGCCGGTGCATCGCCGTTGAGCGTCTGTGCCACCGCCGAATCGAGCGCAACCTTGGACGCCTCCGCAGGCGCCTTTGGCAGATCGGTCGTACCAGACATGTTTGTGACTGTGAGACGAATCGAAGTTGATAGCTGGATGCGGTCCGCAGCGAGGATCCAGGTCGAGGAGTTGCGACTAGATGCTAGGCGCTAGCTGCTAGATGGTGCTGGTTCGCTGAAGCAGGACGCCGACAGATTGCGTGAGCTGGACGTAAAGAACGTAACAATGGCGACCGCTGCGTTATGCGGCCAAGGAAGAAGTGTCGAGCAAAGGCCAAGTTGGTGGAGATCAAGCTGGAGCCGCCGACGATGGCGAGAAGAAAGCTGGGCTGCGCAGCCGCTCTCCAAACTCCCACATTTGCGCCTCGAACCTTTTCCCGCACGGAAACGCGCGCGCGCCCTGCTCACATTTTCTCTCTCTCTCTCATCCCAGCGCGCGATGGAAGAAAAAGTTCGCACATCCGCACCAGCAATCGGCCGATCGACTCACATTTCCACTCCTGCTCGCCCGATATCCACACTGCTGCTTCGAGTTGATGCTGGTGCCATTGCCGGCTTCATTACACCTTCCACTTGCGCAAACGCTTGACGGAGCGCGGATGGTTGTTGGATGCCGTCGCCGCAACCGCACCCGGTCCGCCGCCCATGCCGCCGCCGACGATGCTGCTTCCCGGCGCATACCAGACGTTTTTGTAGTTGACCGGTCCAGGCACTCGGATGCCGAGCTTGTCCGTGCCGGCCTCTGGCGCCGCGGTGGCGTACGGGTCGACGCCCGTACCCGCTGCGATCGACTGCGAGCGAGAGCGGTAGCCCCCACCGCCCGCCGTACCTGCAGCGCCCGGGTTGGAGCCAAAGTAGTGGCCGTACACTCCGCCCGGTGTGGGCGGGTAGGGCGTGATTGCCCCCGCGGCAGCAGAGGAGCCCATCGTGGCAGAGACGGGCGTGAGGGGCGACATGAGCGGCTCGCCGCCCCAGCCCATCGTGCCCATATGTGGGGCGATGGCGATCGCCGACGGTCGCCGACTCGCCAGCGGCGTCGAGGGCTGCGAGGGCGAGGTGATCGTCGAGCTCGGCTGGCTGATCTTGTTCTTGAGGCGCAGCGTGAGCGCTGCACTCGCGGGCGCCTTGGGCACCGCAAACCCAGACGCATCCGATGCAGCCACCTCCTTGTGCGTGTTTGCTGGCGCCGGATCTGCGCTCGCTGCGTCTGCACCGCTGGTGCGGGTGGCGGCATACGCGACAGCAGCTGCACTGTCGGTGTTCTGAATCAACCTCCGCAGCGACGCCTCGACAAGTCGGGCGTTGGCGAGCTTGCGGTTGACGAGCATGAGCGGGTCCCTTTGGCGCACGCTCTCGGCCTCGTCGTCGGCGCCGAGCGAGGCGCCGTATGCGTTGGTCGGGTAGGCGGGCGTCTGCATCCACGAGTGGCGTGGTGGCATGCCCGGAAGATGGCGCGGCACCACGTGGTCCGCAATGCGCCGCCACGCCTGCTCGCCCGACGTGAGCGCACGCAGATCGCGAGCCGACGCGCCTGAACCTGACCCGGATGCTTCCGCGCCGCCGGTAGCAGCGAGCTTCTCGAGCCTGCGCTGCTTCTTGGCGAGGATGCGCGCGCGGTCGTGCTTGCGCTTCGAGGCACGCGCGTGCACTGCAGCGCGCCGGTTCGGATGCTCGTCGTCCGAGTGGCTGCTCACCGACCACGCATCCATCTCCGAGCCCTCGTCCGAGTCGGACGGAAGCATGTCTGCCTCGTCGCCATTGCTGCGCGAACCGGCGCTGCCAAGGTGGTGAATTTGCGGGTGGCTCGCATTGTGCGTTGCATTGTTGCGTGCAGTGGCAGCCGCCTGACGGTCTGGATGGTCGAGTTGCTGTCGGTGAAAGGCGCGCAGTTCGCGCACGGGCTGACCGTGCGTCTCGAGCGCATACAACAGGTCGCGCGCCGACGGCTGGTCGCGGCACGCCAGCTCGGCCGCATGCGACGCTGCGGCAAAGACCGAGGTGAGAAAGCGGCTTGTAAGCTGCTCGACCTCGTGCATGGCCGATGCCGTAGCGGCGTCGAAGCCGGCTCGCGTGGCTTGGACCGCGATGAGCTGGCGCAGCGCCTGCTCGCATCCGGCGCTGTCGACGTGCGGGATCGAGTAGGGCACGCGAGACGACGAGGCCACCGAGCCCAACGGCGCACAGTGCGTCACGGGCCTCTGCTTGCGTTTGGGCTTGTACGGAGCTGGAGTGCTGGCGGTGGTCGGCTGGCGTTCGGACGGCTGTGAGGCTGGTTGCTGCGCCTCGGAGGGGGATGAGGGCGCTGGCTGGGATGGCGCGGGCGAGGCCGTGGTAGATCCGCCGCCAAATATGGCCGTGGAGGACGAGGTGACTGCCCAGCTGGGCACGCCTCCTGCTGGCATGTCTGTGTGTGCGCGCGAATAGAGTGGATGTGGTAGCGACGAACGAAGGGTCGAGATGAGGATGCGATGTCGACGACGTGAAGTCGACGGAATATTCTCGAGTTCAATGTGTTAGATTGCTGTCCAGCCTCCACTTGCCCGCTTTCGATGCGAATCACCTCATGGCGGCGGTGCATGCTGTGATGGTGTTGTGACTCTTTGCTTCCTCGCCATCGACCCTATATGCGCCTTCCCGTTCCTCGCGTTCGCCTCTTCTCGTCCTTTCACTACCTTGCCTCTGCTCGCTCCGTGCACACATCGCACCCGCGATCTGCCTCTCCACCCTCCGACCCGCATCGTGCACAACGACTGTCCGAGCTGCGACGCAAGTTCTCGCAGCCCCCACTTAGACCCGCCATGTCGTTCCAGCCGCTGTACAAGTACGTCGACCGCGACACGCTCGCCGAGACGGTGCGCAAGCACGCCGCCGACCCAGCCCAGCGCGAAGTGGCGATCGTCGATGTTCGAGGTAAGTCCCCGCCGCTCGCATCCCTGCCTCGAATGCTCACGTGCTGATTGGATTGCGCAGACGACGACTTTGAGGGCGGCAACATCAAGGGTGCGCGCAACCATCCGTCTGCCAACTTTGCGGACGAGGTGCAGGATCTAGTGTACGGCCCACTCAAGGAGTACAAGCAGGTCATCTTCCACTGCCACCTCTCACAGCAGCGTGGGCCCAAGGCGGCAGGGCAGTACGCACAGGCTCGTCAGGCCGCCGAGGCGGACACCGAAAAGGACAGGCTGCCGGAACAGCAGGTGCTCGTCCTCCGTGGCGGCTTTAGCGAGTTCCAGGACAAGTACAAGGTGAGCTGCCCCCACACCCACCAACCCGAATGGGAACCAGCTTGCTGATGAAGTGATTTCGCGATACAGAAAGATGCTGCAGTGGTGGAAAAGTTCGACGAGTCCAGTTGGCAGTTCCGCAACTAAAGCAATGAACGTTCAGAGCTTGGTGCGACGCGAACGGTCCTGTTGCTTCTGGTCGGCGGAACGGTTGACAAAGGCGCCCACCTGTCCTTCGGTCATGAGTTGCGAGAGGCTGTGCAGTCCGAGTTCGAACTCGCGCTGCATGGCCTGTCGTAGTGCACCTTTGAGGCGCAGATCCACGCGTGTCTGCTCGGGATGAGATGCGGGGTAGAGCGCATTGAGCATGCTGGCTCGATCGTTGAGCATGCACGTTTGCGGCACACTCGCCAACCCTGCTGCCACCTCGAGCGCCTTTTCCACCACAGCCTCCCACCCCTTGCTAGCCTCGGCATTGTCCGCAACGATGTAGTTGACCAGGCCCATGTCGTGTGCCTCTTTCGCACGCACCAGTCTGCCCGTAAGGCTGAGATCCGCAGCACGCGATCCACCGATCAGCGCGGGGAGGCGAACGGTGCCGCCGTCGATCAGAGGTACTCCCCGAAGACGACACAGTACGCCGAGACTTGCCGAGGCGGTGGCGATGCGAAGATCGGCCCAGAGGGCCAGCTCGAGGCCACCTGCAACGGCGAAGCCCGAAATCGCCGCAATGACGGGCTTGTTCATCGCGAGCCGTGTGACGCCCATAGGGGCCATGGCATCCATATCCGGATCGAGCAGGTTCCCACCCTCGCTGCCTGTCCCACTGGCAAGCGAGCTGGATGCAATGGACTTGAGATCCGCACCGGCACAGAACGTCCCTCCTGCTCCAGCGAGGATCGCGACGCAAAGCGAGGCGTCGTGCGCGAACGAAACGAACGCCTCGTGCAGGCCAGAGGCGGTTTCGCGGTCCACAGCGTTCTTGACTGAAGGTCGGTCGATCACGCACACCATAGCCTGCGCCGACGGAGGTGCGGATACACCTGGGGCGCAGAAGGCGCTGAGCCCAACGCGGTACACCTTCACCTTGCCCCCTGCAAGCGACCGTTCGGGTGTCGGTACTGTCATGTTGCAAGTCTTTCCCCCACCGTGTGTGTTGGTGGTTGCAAGCCGAACCGAACCCGCTCACTCGCACCGGCTTCTCAACGCGCCCTTCCCCGCATTTTTTTCTCCACTTTCACACTCCACCGCCCTGGACCCCTTTGAGCAATATCCCGCGGGGCAAGAAAAGACTACAATGGCAATACGAGATGGCAATACGAATACAGTTCTGGCAGTGTTGGGGGACCTCACTTGGCGGTATCGAAGAACGCCACACGCTCGCGCAGGGTGGCGGTATGGCCTACGGGCTTGACCTTGGCGAGCGCGCTGAAAGCCGCCGAGGTGGGCGCGGCCGCTGCGGTGTCTTCGAACGTCGCGCTGGGCGTCCTGCTAAGCCTCCCGCTAGACACGGGCGACACGGGCGCGCCCAGCGTAAACCTCTTCTTCTCCACCAGCCCGAGCTTGGCACTGGGGCTACTGGTCGAGTTGGCCGAGTGGGAAGAGTGGGCCGAAGCAGTGGAGGCGGTGGCGGCGAACTTGTGGGCAAACAGCTTGTTGGGTGAGATGCGGCCCGAAGCCACCGCTGCGGGCGTGGGCTTGGGCTCGTCCATCCCCGCGGCTGTAGAGAGGTACGACAGCGCGCGTGTCTTAACAGGCGATGCACCGGCTGAGTTGGAGGGTGCATCTTCCAGGGGCGGCGTGAGCGGTTCCTCGACCGAACCCGATGACGAGTGCGAGGCGCTTTTCGTCACGGCTACAGGCTCGCGCAGCGTGTCGAGCGTGTGTGTCGATGGCTTTTTGGAGTGCGATGTGGCTTCGATCGCAGCCAGTGCGGCCGTGATGTCTGCCGCACCGCTGTCGTCGTCCTCTTCCTCGGCGTTCGACGGAGTGGCAGGCGCGGCGGATGCAAAGCTGCTCGAGCGCGACCGCGTCGATGTCCCATCCACCAGCGCCTTGAGTCTGTCCTCCACCGACACGTCGCGCTTCATGCCCGCTTCCGCCGAGGGCGAGGTGGGGCCGGGCGACAGACGACCATGCACAAGCGGCTGGCCCAACACCGACGTAAAGCGCGGTCGACCATTGGGGCTGACGGAGCGCTCGCGGGCCTCGCGCTCACGCACACTCTCGGATGCGAAACCAAAGATGGCCTTCGTAGGCGAAGGCGTGCTGTGCTTGCCCTCGTCCTTGTCGAGTGCCGGCTTGGCACCCGCGGGGAGCACGAGATTGCGCACGCCCGCCACACCCGCACCGGCACGAGGCACCGCACTCTCGAACGTCGAGCTCGATACATTCGTCTGCCTCGCCTTTGTGGGCGACTCGACCACAGCCGGCATGGGTTGCACCGACGCCGACGGTGTGACTGCATGAATGCTGCCGAACGACGACATGGACGTCGACACAGGCACTGCTGCACCCTGTTTCCCCGCCTCCTGCGGCGACGTGCGTGCTACGTGCGCCACGAGCTCTCTGGCCTCGCTGATCTCGCGCGTAGCCGCCTTGAGTTGACCGACCTCGTGCTTCATGAGCCCCGTCATCTGGGATACCCATCGGTCCATCTCTGCCGAGTGGGCGCTGCTGGCCGAGCCGACGGAGCCGCGCGCGTGCGGGTTGGAGGCGAGCATGGCGTCGCGCTCAATGTCTCCGAGACGCTGCTCGAGCGCGCGGATGAGCGGCACCGAGTAGCGCTCGAAGCGGTAGAAGCGCACCATCATCTCCTGCAGCGCGTCGCGCAGGCCCATCTCGGCAGGCATCGGCCCGGACCCGGGCGAAAGTGTCGACACGCCCCCAGCGGGGTGGGCGGCGCGCGCAGGCTCGCGTGTGAGCTGGTGCGCGCCACTCGGAAAGCGCTCGCCATGCCCACGCGTGGCACTGTTCGATTTGGGCGGCGTCGCCGGTGCCACCTCGGTGTGGCGCGTTTGACGCAGCTGGGCCTGCTGGTCAGAGGCCTGCTTGCGCTGCGCCTCGATCTGCTCGCGCGCAAGCTGCTTGGATCGTGTCTCGTGGATGATGCGCTGTGCGGGCGTGAGTGGCTCGTCTACCTCCGCTGCCGGTGTGGATTCGACAGTGGCACCAGGCAAATAGGCAGGCACGGGCTTTCGACCCGGCGGGCTTTTCTTTCGCCCAAGCTCGTGCTCCAACGCCGCGTCCTCGTCCCTATCATCGCCATCTACAACCTGCCTCGGTCTAAACTCTGCCGCCCTCGTGGGTGTCTGGGCGTTCATCCACTGCTGACGCTCCTGGTCGACAATATGCCTCGCCTGTCGCATCGAGGCCATCTTTTGCGCGACCGCCGCCTCGTCCTCTGCATCGCGCGCGGGATACGGCACCACGCCGTCCGCATACGCGTCCCTCTCATCCGCACGCGGCGAGCGTCCAAACACGCCCTTGAACCACTTGCCCGCCAGATGCGAGCCGCCTCCGGGCGAGCAGCTGCGCGGCACGTCGCCCGACTGGGTGTGCTCGGCCGAAGACTGCCTGCCCGTGAGCGTGTTGATGAAGCCGGACGAGTTGGGGCTGCCTGCGACGCGGGCGGGGGAGACGGAGCCGAACGGCGAGTTGGCGCGCGAGTAGTCGGTGTCTGCACCGGCATCGAAGCGGAGCGGCGAGTGGGGAGAGCGGCCGTAGGGGATATCGACGGGCGAGGGGAGGCCGTCGAGCGGTGCGGCTGGGTCGACGCTGTCCTTGCGTGTGCGGCCGATGCCAAAGGAGAAGCGGCGCGAGCGGCTGGGCGATTCGTCGCGCGCGTCGTGTGCGTGCGGCATTTGAGGAGGCTGCATGGGCGGCAAGCCGAAGCCGGCCGGAGCAGCGACGGGGAACTGTCGTGGACCCGCGAGGCCTGCCTGACGAGGACCGGCTGCGGGGCTGGGGCCGCGCGAGGATTGCTCCAGCCGTGCATGCTGCATCTCGTGCTGCTGCTGCGCCAAGCTCTTGGGTCCCGCAGTGATGCGAGCCACGGGCTTTTTGGCGCTGGTTGCCGAGTGCGCCGAAGCGGAGCGAGGGTCGTGGTCGGAAGCGCTGGCTGCCGAAACCGACTTGCGTGGCGAGCGTCCGCGCTGATTCGCCCTGTTGAACTCGCCCGCCTTGATGCTCGCGGACGGACTTGCGGGTCGGTGGTACGGCGAAGGCTGTGCTCCTGCCGCCTCGGGTCGTCCATCGTTGGACGAGTGAGCTGTGCCGTAACCTACACCTCCGCCAGGCCCACCAGGCGGCACGCCCAAGCTCGCCGGCGCCGCACCGAGCGGCTTTGACTTGGATCTGCGGTACTGCAGCTGGCTATGTTGTGGTTGCTCGTCGTCCGAATCCTCGAGCGTCATGCGCCTTGCGGGTGAGTTGGACTGGCCAAAGAACGGCTGTGCGGTGTCATTGGCGGGTGAACCGGGCATCGACACGCCGCCCGGGTTCCTGACCACGCTGCGCACAACAAAGCTGGATGCCGAACCCGACGGACTTACGCCAGGCGAGTTGTTGGACGACCTGCGCGACCTGGTCGAGTTGAAGCTCGTGTCGACGTGCAGCTGTTGCTGGGTGTTTGGGCTCGAGGAGCGCGACCTGTTGAACGGCCAGAACTTGCGGCCTGGCGAGGGCGATCTGTCGTTGGTGCGTGCGTCCATGGCGAGGTACTGTGCGGTGTGCGGATCGGGCACGAACGAGTAGTGTGGTGACGATGCCGACATGGCTGGGTTGAGATGATGTGGGGGGGCAGGAAAGGTGGAAGTTGAAACGGCCCAGTCTTAATATGCACCTCTGCACGCCGCACCGGCTCGAGCGTGCATCGGCAATCAAAGTCTCCCCAAAAGAGCCCCTGAAGAGGCAAGCAGCAACAGCCAAAAAGGGGCGCCGCTCGCCAGACAAAAGAAAAGGGGCTTCGCGTGTCGCCCGCAACTCCACATTCGCGGGCGTCACGTGCGGCTGTCCCCCATGCTTGCAATCTAACATTAAGAAAAATCGCCGCGTATTTCGCCGGCTGTCGGCGGCAGCTGTCAGCTTTGGCTTGGGAAGCCTCCACTTTGGTGGTCTTGTTTGCACCACCACCAGCCCTCGCCATGTCAGTGCCCACGCCGAGCTTGACGGTTCGCAACGTGCGGCTGCCACCAGCAGCGTATCGAGCACTGAACCTCGACACGGACGCCACTGCGCCGCTTGTGGATCTCGACTACATCGCCGCCAACGATGCGGTCGAGGTGCACCTTACTCCGCACGACGCCTCGGTCGAGCAGCGCTTCGATCCCGCCCAGCCGTTCGCTTCGACCATTCGCATCGATGCTGCCGATGATGCTCGCCGAGGGGTAGCGAGAGAGGCTGCGGAGAGGCGGCTGGTGGGACGCTTCCCGTCGCCCACGTCCACACCCGCTGCTGCGCCTCGCTGCATCGATGCACGTGGCAGCCTCGGCATCCCTGGTGGCCTGTGTCATCCGCACATCCATCTCGACAAGTGCTTCCTCCTCGACCGCTGCACACTCTCTGACGGCACCTTCAGCGAAGCCCTCACTGCGACTGCCAGTGCCAAGGCGGAGTTCACGCACGACGACCTTGTGGCGCGAGGGCGCCGGCTTATTGCCGCCTCGCTCTCGCACGGCGTCACGAGCATGCGCGCGTTCGTCGAGGTGGACCCCACCGTCGGCCTACGCTGCGTCGAAGCGGGCATTGCGCTGCAAGCCGAGTTTGCCGACCGGTGCCATGTCCAGCTCGTGGCATTTGCACAGGACCCACTGTTCTATCCCGATGCAGCGAAACAGCAGCGCATGCACCAACTACTGCGACACGCAGCTCAAAGCCGACAAGTCGACGTGGTGGGATCAGCACCGTACGTCGAATCTTCTCCCGAGGGGGATGCGGTACAGCAGAAGACGCAACAACGCAGGAACATCGACTTTGTCTTTAAGCTGGCAGAGGAGTTCGGCAAGCATGTCGACTTTCACCTCGACTACGACCTGGACCCGCCGGGGGCAGCGGCGGAGGGGAGGGAAGCTATGCTGCCGTATGTGCTTGGTCTGTCCCGGGGTCGCAGCTGGGATGTGCGTGGGCAGACGAGACGCGTGACGATCGGACACTGTACCAAGCTGAGCGTGTACACGGAGGGCGACATTGCGGCGTTGTGCGAGGGGGTGGCGGAGGGCGTTTCGGTGGTGGCGCTTCCGCCGTCGGACATGTACATGCAGGGGCGTGACCAGCCGTATGCATCTCGCTCCCGGGCTACGCTACCGCTGCTGGAGCTGCACAAGACGCTGCGGCTCAGCTGGGCGATGGGCGTGAACAATGTGGCGAACCTCTTTACGCCGCAGGGCGATGCTGATCCTCTTGCAATGCTGCCGTGCATGGTGGGCGTGTGGCAGAGCGCCAAACCGCGCGACTGCGAGACACTGTTGAACGCGGTTTCTACCTCGGCACGCTACGCTGCCGGCTTTACTTGTTCGTACGACGACGCTGCAGTGTGGGCGGATCTGACACTGCTAGATGGAGCTAGCGGGGTTCAAGATGCTGTATGCGCTCCACCCTTCGGCCGACTTACGATCGCAAAAGGAAGCATGGTTGCACAACGCACGATTCATTCGACACTCTTCTAGAAACAAAACTTGATACAGGAGGCAGGTTACTGCGGACGGTCGGTGAGGGTGGATCCACCGTCGGTATTGATGATCTGGCCGGTCTGGTTGGTGTCCTTGAGCAGATACACGTACGTATGCGCCACTTCTTCCGGTTGGCCGATCTTTCCCGTAAGCAGCTTGCTGCCCATTTCATCGAGCATTGCCTTTCTCTGTTCGTCGGGGATTCCACTCCACAACTCGGTCTCGACCGGTCCCGGTGAAATGCAATTCACCCTGATGCCCTTATCCGCTAGATCGAGGGCGAGGCCACGGGTGAGGCCGTAGAGTGCAGCTGCATAACCAGCCACTGCGCTCCAGTTGAGCATGGGTTTTTGCGCAACTGCACCCGTGGTAAGCACGATACTTCCACCCGCGTTGCGACGGAGCAAGTTCGGATTGGCAGTGGCGATTTTCACCGCAAGGATGGCGCTAAAGTATCGAACGTCTCCGGCTTCCACCAGCGAGGCGTAGTCCCATTCGTCAAGCGGCTTCATTCGAAGCGTGTCGCCGGCGGTGTGGATCAGGTGGTCGAATGAACCGATTCGGGTGAAGAACTCGCGCAGAGACGATTCAGCCGCTGCACCAGATAGGTTCACCGTATAGCCCGAGACGCGGGAAGCGTCCGCGTTGAACTGCGTCGATGGATCGCTCAGCTTCGCTACGGCTGCAGACACCTTGGCAGCAGACGAACTACCAATCACCACCGAAGCGCCTTCTTCAATCAGGGCTGAGGCGGCGGCAAAGCCCAAGCCCGAAGAGCCGCCGATGATGACAACCTTCTTGCCTGCCAGAACTCGCGTCTTGGATGTAGCCATTGTCGTCGTAGATCCAAAAGTAGTGTGCGTGTTGTGTGCGTTGTGTGTGTTCTTGATGTGTGGTGGGGATGGAGGGTCGGTGGCGAGCCAAGGCAGTTTATATAGCCGCGACGATCCAAACCCCCCATCCGCAACATCTTACCCTTCAACTAAGAGGCAAGGCGGGATGCAGTAAGACACCGTGCACATCGCCATGCGCGCGCGCGGGCACCCGCCGGAAAGCGGACATAAAAAAAAGACACCGCAGAAAAGGTGTGGAGGCCTTTTCCTCGTCCGCCTCCAAACCTCCGCGGGCCAAAATCTCAAGCTTACATCCAGCCGATCCTCGCTTCCTCCTCACACACCCAACGCAACCCTACACAACCACACTCTGTATCCATGACGCAACGGGCACAAAGTCCGATACACACTCTCCCCAAACAAGCCCACTCTCCCCGAAGCTCCCCACTTACTCCATTTGTGCCACCACACCACCCACTGGCCCACACCCGCCGCTGTGTGCTATCAATGAAATGCTTTCCATGCTAAAAGATCGGCAGCTAATGCTCTCTACAGATCCAGATCGTCGTCGGGATCCTCGTCGTCTTCGTCGTCATCCTGCTCGGGCTCAAAGAAGATCTTGGCGCTGCCCGTATTGCCCCTAAGCGCGCGCTGCTCCTGCTCTGCCACGTTCTGGTGGTAGGCGTACGGCAGAGGCACCTCCTCGCGCCGCACACGCTGCGCCTCGGTCTCGCCCAGGTTGAACGGCAGCGTCGACACCATGGTGCTATGCTGATCTCCGCCGGCTGCGTCCGGTGTGCTCGCTGGCGTCGCCGCACCCGCTTCGCTGCGCCGATCGGTCATATCGAGCTCGAGCAGCCGCAGCTCGCCATGGCTGCCTGGGCTGAGCGCACGCAGCTCGTCGTGCTTCTTGCCGTTGCGCGCCTGCAGGTGCAGCTCCAACAGCGCATATGCGTCGCGCGACGCATCCAACACGTCCGCCAGCGTCACTGCGCCCGCAAACCGCGTCGCACCATCGCTGGCGCCATTCGCCGTGCTGATGCCAGACTCGACACGCGCCGAGAGCGGTTCGAACGCACACGCCTCGCTCGCGCCGTCGCTCCACCAGCCTTGCGCGCCGCCACCCGCCTCGTACGCCGCAATGCCCATGGGCCCGCGTGCCGAAACATTGCGCAGAACCTCCCAGAAGCGCGCGTCCACCTCGTCCTCCCCGTCGCTGCCGGAGCTAGACGACGGCGGCCGAAGTCCGTACTGCTTGATCAGGTGTCGCACCAGCGCAGGCGCGTGCAGCGTCGCCGTGAGCACCGTGCCCGCCGTCGATGCCGAGCCCCAGATGAGTGGCGAATGCAGCGCAGCCACAAGTCCAGCGCATGTGCTCGCCTCGACGCCGCCCGTCTGCATGCCAACGACCAGACGCGACGATGCGCCGATACCTCCGAGCGTCTCCCGCACCAGCCCACTCGCCTGCGCCACGCTGCTCGCGCGCACCACGGCATTGAGCGAGTCGACCACCACCATCAGCTTGGCCGCCCCGCCACCCAGCCTGCCGAGCTCGCTGCGGATGCGCTCTCTCAGCTGCCCTACCGAGCCCAACGCGCTCGCGTCGTCCGTATAGACGTCGCCGAGCGCAGTGGCGTCGATTGCGGCGACCGCAGCATCGCCAAGAGCGTCGAGGTACGTCTCGGGCCGGCGCAGCGTTGCGACGAACACCACCGTATGGTTGCGCAGCGAAGCACGGCGCACGAGCTCGCGCAGCAGCTGGACCGACGACTGCACCACCGAATCCTGCACCACCACGAGCTGCTTGCCCTGGCGCTGCGACGACACGCTCTTGAGCCCGCTCGACGCGCCGTCCGCAGGCGCAAACAGCACGTCGTCCAGCATACTCTGGCCGATCGAAGACGTGCTTGCGGCCCCAGCGGCGCGCGAGCCGCCCTGAGCCCGGCTGGCAGAAGCAGACGCAGACGAGCCCCGGCTGGTCGACCCACCGGAGCTGCCAGAGGCAGCAGCTTGGGTCACAGCGACAGGGCCAGGCGACATTGCGTGCGTTGCGCGCGAAACGGATGCGCGATCGCACGAGGGAAGGAGGGTCGACTCACGCGCGGCTAGTGCAGCGGCATCGCTGGACTGATACTCGACCAGACCGCGGGCCACGGTGAGGACCTGGGTGGGCATGAAGGCGTCGTTGCTCATCTCGTCGTCCGCGTGTGCGGCTCCGGCGAGATGGTTCAACAGGCGTCCTTCCACTTCATGCCCTAGCCGAAAAAACGACGGCGGCTTGCGCAGCGCCTTGCCCTCCTCCAGATGCTCCGCGCGGCTCTTGAGCGCCGTGGCCGACAGGCCGCACGTCTCGTACAGCCGCGGCGACGGCGGCTCGGCCTCGTCGGCGCTGGCGCCCGACGTGGACGAGGGCGTATGCGCCGACGAGCTCGACGACACCGCGTCGGCAGGCAGGTGACCCGACTGCGACGAGGCGTTGCACGACAGTGCATCCGCCGAGTCGGTCTCGGCGCCCGCCTCTTGGTCGGCCGCATGGATGGGGCCGGGCGCGTCCGATGGCTGGGCATCGGCCTCGACGCGGCACAGCTCACGCTGAGCTTGCTTCTCGACGGCGTCATCTGCCCGCTGGACGTTTCCCGACTCCGGATCGGCTGGTGCGGCCGCGGCGGCGTGGTCGTGCTCGCCGTTGGCGTTGGTGTCCGCAGCGGTGTCCGGTTGTGGCGGCGTGTGTTGCGCGCCGTTGCCGTTTGCATCGGCGTGTTCTGCTTTTTCTGCGTCGCCATGCGCCGGATCCGCGTGTGCGCCGAGGCTCTCGAGCTCTTCGCGCTCGAGCTCCTCGAGTTCCATGCGCATCTCGTCGGCCTCGCGTTGGAGGCTCGACTTGAACTGGCGGAGCGAGTGGATGAACTCGACGTCGGCAAACTTGTCGAAAGGCTGCGGCGACTGCCAGCGCGCGTTGGACTCGTGGTAGGCCTTGAGCCAGGGATGCTGGAGCGCCTCCTCGGCGGTGAGACGCTGGTCGGGATCCCAGGTGAGCAGCTTGGCGACGAGGTCGAGCGCATCGCGGTTGGCGTTCGGGTAGAGCTTTTCGAGCGGCACGGCGGGCATGTTGGGGAGCGACTTGATGTACGTCTTTGCGCGCTCCGAGCCGATCTTGTCGAGCACGGCGTCCGAGGGCGAGCCGAGCACGTTGTTGATGCGTGCGATCTGGTCGACGTAGTCCTTGCCGCCAAAGATGGGTGCGCCCGCGATGAGTTCGGCGAGGATGCAACCGACGGACCACATGTCCATCTCGGGGCCGTAGCCCTCGCGGAAGCAGAGCATGACCTCGGGTGCGCGGTACCATCTTGTGGCGACGTAGCCGGTGAGCGGGCCGCCGGGATAGTTGAGGCGCTTCTGCTTGCCCTTGGAGTCGGTCTTGTAGAGCTGGACGTGCAGATCCGAGGCGGGTGAAGGCGAGCGCGCCGAGCCGGAGCGGGGTGCAGTGGAAGATGCCGCCGGCTCTTGTGCTACGACGGCCTGTGTGTCGCTGCGGTCGCCATCGACGCTGCTGCTGATGCTCGTCCTGGGCTTGGCCTCGGCGTCTTCGGCCGAGGCGGTGGGCGCGAGGAACTCGTCCGAGTCGGCATAGGCGCGCGCCAGACCGAAATCGCAGATGCGGAGAGCGCAGTCGCCATTGACGAGGAGGTTGCTGGGTTTGAGGTCGCGGTGGATGACCTTGGCGGAGTGCATGTAGCGGACGCCACGCAGGATCTGTGCCATAAAGTACTGGTGGTGGGCGTCGGAGAGCGACTGTCCGGAGCGAATGATCTGGGAGAGGTCGGCCTCGCTTGCGGAAAGCACCAGGTAGATCTCGGAAAAGTCGATAAATGCGGTGTCAAAGTCGAGGAGGGCGGTGACGTTGTCGCACATGCCAATGTGACGTAAGAGGGCGACTTCGCGAAGCGCCCTGCGAGCGAGGACGTCCTTCTCGAAAATGCGGGTGACCTTTTTGATGGCGACGTTGACGTCGAGCACCTCGTCGCGGCAGAGTGCAACGCAGCCGTAGGCGCCGATGCCGAGTTCGCGGACAAAGGTGTAGCGCTGCTTTACGTGGAAGGGGACGCCGAGGCAGCGGAAGGAGTGGTAGCCGCGCTCTGCGAGGTTGTGGGGCGCCATGGGGTGGTCTTCGTTGGTGTAGCGCGGAGTGCGATGGGAAGGGTTGGCGGAGGAGGACATGTTGCGACGGGTGCGTGTGCGGGTGCGGGTGCCCTGTCTGGACCCCACCTGGTGGACCACCGAGGAGGAAGATGAAGGCGAGGGTGGTGGTGGTGGCGTCTTTTGGGCGGATGAAGAGGCGTGGGGAGGCGGCGAGGAGGGTGTTGCGTGCGGCGCCGGCATGGTTGGATGCAACGAGCGGGTCGAGACTGAGCAAGCAGACGGCAGTGAATATGCGTGGGAGTCTGGCCGACGGCGTGCGAGTATGTTGCCGCTGGTGCAGATGCTCGGGCTTGTGAAGTGGGAGTTGGATCTATGCTAGTAGAGATACCAGACGATGATGATGATGATGGCGGTGGTGGTGGTAGCTACGAATGCTTCAGGAGGGCCAGAGGGCTGCAGGGATGCATGCGCGATAATGCAGGTGCGGAGCGTGGGGCGATGCGATGATGCCGGAGATGTGAAAGCGTGATTAGGCGCGTGGCTGCCGCCGCTTGAAAGGGAGCGAGAGCAGGCTGATGCTGAAAGTGGCGGGCACGGGTTGCGCGTCGGATCGGCGAAATCTAGAGCGTGGAAGCGCGAGGACAAAGGGGGCTTATGCTGTGGCACGCAATCGAGAGGTCCAAGCTGGAGCGGCCAAGCGAACGTGTCCAGGCGAAAGTCGATGTGTCGATGCGATAAGAGAGTGGTGGCTCGAAGATGGAAGCGGACTGACGACGATGTGCGGGTTGCTGAGCGTGTGTGGTGTCGTGTGTGTGTGTTTGTGTGTGGTCCGAGTCACGACGTGGTCCTACGTAGATGTG